CAAGGCACGTACCGAATGTGAAAGAAGAATTAAAATGAAAATACCTCTGGGTGTTTTTGAGATTGTGAAGTAAGTTCGATATTTTCTCAAAACGATGATAACTTAAATCAGTTACACTCATTTTCTTTCTTAAATTAGGCCACATCATAATTTCACGGAGAGCATAGAGAATCAAAGCAAGCGTTCCCAATGATAATACAAAATCAAACACCTCAACTTTTTAGTATTGAGATGAAAAATTTTTGTGTTCTTTAGTCTGTACAATTTTGTTTATTATTCTTGTATATTCCTCAACTTTGGATTAGAGCATGTAATGTAACTAGGTCAATCGGACAAAAGATTATAAAGGAATTATTATAGAATTTATTATTGATTACGTATTTCAGTAACAAAGTTCAGGCAATTAGAGATTACATGCATCCTCTCAATCGGTTAAACTAAGAATAATACTGTACAAGAATAAAAAAAAAATTACTTATCCTAATAAAAAAATAGAATAGATTCAAACATTCGGTTCCTTAACAAGAATTTCGATTCAGTTAGCGCTAATCATTGCTATAAACGGTTATTAATTAATGCTTGAAGGAAAAATCTCTCAAGCTCCATTGATATCTTGATTTACATTTGTTACATTTGTAAACTTGAGTTGTTTGGTTTGGTTAGGAATGCACTGTTGGTGTAGTCTATGTCAATTTGTTCATTTGAAGTTACGACGGAATTGACAGCATCTATTTGATTTTGTGCTCTTGGAAATACCAAGTTTATTTCATTTTGGAACGTGATGCATTGGCAGCATTTTATAGAATCTGGTTTATCTGAATACAACGGTGTGATTTTTCTTGTCTGTAAATACGATGTCATTATAGCGTCTATGTGGTTTTCTCGTTTGGAATCGTGGTTGTATTGGCGTGATTTTGTAAGTATATCCAATTCCAATTCGTCAAGCACGAGACGAGAGACGTCAGAAGATAGAGTATCCATTAACGAGGTCATGCATTGAATTGAACAATCGTTCATGGAATTCTCAGTGTTGTTTTGTGATGGCAAAGAGCTCAATTTTGGTAAAGAAGTATTTGCAGCCTTTTTAACAACTGGACATTGTGATTTTTTTTGTCTCTCGGACAAAAATTGATCAAAAGTTACGAGGTTCCACCTATCTATGCGCTTACGTTTACCGTGTTTCGGGAAGACATCGTTACGAAGAAGCAGTGCATCTCTTGCAATAACTTTGTATGCGGCTTTCACCAAGTCACTCTCATTCGCCCAGCGTTTAGATGCCAATGTGGAAATATTGGTCATCGGAAGACTGACACCGTTGTGTCTGGCAGTCTCGACGAAGACTTTTCGGTAAATTAAGAAAGCATTTGGAGTTCTCGCCAGTTTCTTCCCTGCACTCCCTTTAGTAATTAGATTGATCAAATCAACACTCGGGGGGAACGGGAGCTCTATAGTAATGTTATCGATTTGTTTATTATTTTCAATCATTTTCTGTTAAATTAAAAAGTAATCATTAATTTTATTTGGAAACGTTAGTTTTTTACATTTCAACAATACAATGCAGTCATGGATATTTCCCCCGTCGTTGTTACACATAAAATAACATTTGAGTTGCTAAATGTCAAATAAACAGACTAAAAGATATTGGAATTTTTATTTGCAAGATCTAGATTATTTCAAGAATATACTTTATTGAAAGTACCTATTTTTTAACAATATAGTGTTAATATAGTAGTAATATGAAATTTTTTAATATAATAGTAAGATAAAAATTATTTAAATAGTAATAATATAGTTTCTATTTATATTTAATAATATAATATAATGGCAATTTAATAACAATAAAAAATAGTAATATAATAGTTAACATTATTGTAATTACTCTGTTACTATTCTTTGACAATTAAATAATAATGTTTATGAAAAATAAGTATTTTCAATAAAATATTCTTATAATATAATTTTGAAAAATTAGAAAAAGATATAAAAATTTAAATTAAATATCAAAAAAAAAATATTTAAAAAAATTAATTTAATAATTAATATTTCAACCTGTTTTTTTATTATTTGTAATTAATTTAAGAAATAATCTAATTGGAACATCCTGTTCCTGAAACAATCTCGATAAATCACGTGATAAATCATATGATATAATTTAAATTATAAATATTATTATTTTTTTTTTTTATACAATTATTGATTTTTTTTATTTTAAAGCTTAAAAGCTTAAATAAATATAGAACTTTATATTCAAGATATAAATTATAAGTTTAAATATTAAAATAATAAATTATTTATTTAAACTATTTTTTTTTACTATAGAATCTATCAATCAAACATTTCGAAATATAGATCTTTATATTGATTATACTTTCAAATTATGGGAAGAGGTTAATAGAATTATTAAGATCTATGGTAAATAAAAAGGATTTGGAGTTATTTGAAAAAGATTAGAATTATATTCAAAGGATCATATAAAACATCGTAATTATAGATGTGAATTTAATGGCCATTATTAACCAAAAAAAATAGTTGATATTCATAGTCACCGCAATTAAAGATGGATTCCTAAATTAAAGGTGAGGATATAATTCAAATGTCCCTCACTATTAAAAAGATTTTTTTTTAAATATAAGGTCAAAAAAAAACCACCCACAAAGGTTTTTTGCAATTTAGAATACTTGATTCAAGTGTTTTTTCCTATTAAAATAATGAATAAATAATTATGTCCCTTTAAAAGGGACATAATTGATCTGTGAAATTTTATATGCTAAATGGTTTAGGAACCCATCCTTATTTGTATGTCTCTAAGAACTTTAGTACACCACATTGGTCCTGTTTATTCGAAGTGCCTTCCTGCTACTAATTCTCTGTCTTTATCTTTCTCCTGAAATAAAAATGATATATGATACTATATAATATTTTAATCAACCATTTGGAAGATAATGATATTAAAAATATTGATTCAAATATAAAAGAAGCAGCTAAAGCATATTGTAAAAAAATTTTAAAGTATTATAACAAGACAAATAAAATTTATATATTAGCAGTTATTTTGGATTCAAGATTTAAAATACAATATTTTATAGATAATAATTGAAAAAAAAAATTGATGGAAAAAATAAAAAAATAATAAATATTTAATTTTATTTTATTTACAATTTAATTTTTATAATTAAATTTTTAATATTAAATCTTTTTTATTTTTCAGTATCAATAATATTTTTCAAGAATATGGTGAATTAAATTCAAGACTTATAACAGCAGTTAATACAGAAGTAATATATAATACAGTTAGAGTCAAATTATTTAAATAATAACATGTAAAAAAACAAGATGAATTGCAGTTATATTTTTCGTTATCCTGTGTAACAAAAAAACAGATGTTTTAGAATAGTGAAAAATAAATAAATAACAATTTCCACAACTAGCATGCATTGCACATAATTATTTAGCAATACTTGCAACAAGTATATTTATAAAACAGGTTTTTTTAGTAAATAAAAATTTAATTACAAAAAAAAGAAATTAGTTGCTAAATAAAACAGCAAGAGCATGTATATGTTTAAAGTCATAACAAGGGCTATTAACAAATAATAATTAAAAATTTTAAATATATATAATATAGTTATATTTATATATTTAATAAATATTATGATAATAAAAAAAACTCTTTCCCACTCCCCCTTTCTACGCTTGAAAATTTCCTTTTTAAGAAATTTTTGAGTTGTTTACTTTTTTTTCGTCTTCCCTTTTCCCTTCTCTCTATGTCCCTTTCCCATACCTTTTTATTTCCCTTCCCCTATCTTCTTCCCTCTCTTCTATATACTCTTCTCTTTTACTTTTACCCCTCCCTTCCTTTTTCCCCTTTTTCTCCTGCTGAAGCTAGGTTTTTCCCTTTTCCCTGAAGGTTTTCCTCCCTAGGCCTCTCTCTCTTTTGAAAACTTCGCCTCCATAACATCACTCCTCTGGCCAGTGGACCCTTTTCTCTCAGGAACCATACAAGAAGTGGCAAGGTTTTCACAGGACGTGGGCTATGGAAAGTTTTCCTTCCATGGCTCCTCAGAAAAAGGACGGACGGCTTACCCCCTCCAAAAGATCAACATGGCCATCATTACCTAATCCGGT